GGTGTTGCAGTAAATTTATCCCTCTATTACTCTTTCCCAAGATGCACAAAGAGGGATATATAGCTACCGATGCTCCCCGACTTACACAAGCGTTCTGTTTTGGAACGCCTTGCGTAACTCGAATTTTGTGTAAGTTGGAAACGTATCTCCGACCATTACGCAAAAAAACCCCCCAAAAAACAAAAACAAAAAAACAAACAAACAAACAAACAAACAAAAACCCCTCCTATTTCTAGCTTATGGAACTTTTTCCATAAGTGCAGATTTGCGTAAGTCAGGTCTTGCGTAACCCGGGGAGCGTCTGTATAGCTTGCCTACAGTAGCTGCAGACCTCTTTTACCTTGTTTCACAATACTCAGCACATTCTGGCCTGAAAGGGTGTTTCCTCTTGAGGTTGTTTATGTTTGTCTGTTTGGTTTTTAAATATCTATTTTACTATTTGATTCCCTAACTTTAATTAGGATGGCTGGCCTTCCTCCCTGAAAGAGGAAGTATTCCCTTTGTGGAGGTCTGGGTATGTATGACTAGAGGAGTCAGTGCATGTCTATGGCCTGGAGTTTTCTGCATGGATTTGCCATGCTGCACTCTGTGAGGGTGAACAGGGGACCCGGGTGCTGAGGATTATCCACTGTGCTTCACTCTGTGAAGATGAGCAGGGGAACCAGGTTCTGAGCATTATCTGCCCTCCTGCCCTTGGTGAAGAGGAGAAGGGATGATATTATTCTTTTATTTCCCCTTTGGGAGTTTGTCCCCATAATACTGCTTCAGACGGGGGAGCAAAACTGGGCTGAGAGACTGTTCCAAAATGTATTTCTGGTGGCTACCAATCTCCCTGTCCTTAAAGATGCTGGTTTTATTTGTCTCCCTCTCCCATATAAGCCTCTTCTGGGTCTCTCAAAGATAGGCTCTCCAGATGTTCCACCCATCTCTATTGCATGGGCCAGAGAGGTCTCTGTTTCTCTGGGAGGTCTCAGCGTGGGATATAAATTGGAATTTCAGGAGGACATGGGGCTTTTATAGAGGTGACACTGGGGCAGGAAGCTAGGCCTGAAGGCTCCTTACTGTGAACTCTGCTATTGACTGTGTCCACGCTGTGTCTTTGTGCCCTCCACCACAGTCAGAGGTGTGGCTGCTGGTGTGGGCTATGCAAATTCAGCCATGGTCATCCATCTGGCGCACTGCCCTTCTAGTGTCACTTCCCTTATGGAGATGGGGAAACAGGGGCTGCTGGCCCTGAGCTAGGGTTGCCAGGTGTCCAATTTTCGACTGGAACGCCCAGTCGAAAACGGACCCTGGTGGCTCTGGTCAGCACCGCTGACCGGGCTGTTAAAAGTCCAGTCGGTGGTGCAGTGGGGTTACCTGCCTTCCCTGGCTCTGCGCGGCTCCTGGAAGTAGCCGGCATATCCCTGCAGCCCCTAAGTGCAGGGGCGGCCAGGGAGGCTCCCCGCACTGTCCCCACCCCGAGCGCCGGCTCCACAGCTCCCATTGGCCGGGAACCTGCTTGATTGCCAGAGCCTACAATGAATTGCGGGGCACTCAGGTATATCACTTTACTTGCAGATTTTACATGGAAATCAGTGAGACAAAATGAATAAAGAACGCCACTTTTAAAAAGATAAAATATGTGATTTCTGTAAAAGGAGGCCAGCAATTTAAAGAAAAGTTCTCTCAATCTAATACAGTGTGAATGGCACAGAATGGCTCTTTCAGTGGCATCAAAGATTGGCCTGAAGTAAAAATATTGTTCTGACACCATATTTCCACCTTATTTTTATCTAGTCAAAATAGAATTGTAATATAAAATTTAGTAAGCTAAGTCACACTTAAAATACTGCACTTTGTGAAAAGTCAAAAATCACTCTTTAAAATTACATATCTTGGTATTTATATGCTCCCCATCACCACAGTATCTAATATTTACAGTGATAAATTGGAAACATCACAAATCATCAACTGATACTGTAGCTAATGTCTTTTAGAAAGCGTCACATTGCTGGGGATAAAGCTGCTTTCTGCTGCCTCTATACTGAATGTGTAGGCAGTGTAACAGAGAAATCCTGCAAGGACTCTAGAATATTTTAAGGCTAGCCGTATGTGCAAAGTCCAACAGAAATGTCCTAATAGCTGTCTTTAGGTCTCATTCTGGTATTTTTTGCTTACTTGTGTGTTTCTTGATCTATACCATACATCTCCTAAATAGTTCAGAAAGCAAATATACTGCTAGGTCTTTTCTATCAAGACAGGTGCAGAATACCAAATAAGGTAAGGATTGTATGTCATTGCCAGTTTCAAATCTGCAATAACCTGGAGAAACACCTGCTCATACAAGCACCCAATTTAATAGGTCTGTAATCTGCTCCTTTTAAGTATATAGAAGATCTGGTTGTCTAAATGTTAAAAATTAGGGCTGTCGATTAATCGCAGTTAACTCACGTGATTAACAAAAGAAAATTAATTGCAATTAATCACAGTTTTAATTGCGCTGTTAAACAATAGAATACCAATGGAAATTTATTAAATATTTTGAGTGTTTTTCTACATTTTCATATATATTGTATTCTGTGTTATAACTGAAATCAAAGTGTATATTATTTTGAATTACAAATATTTGCACTGTAAAAATGATAAACAAAAGAAATAAAATTTTTCAATTCACCTCATACAAGTACTGTAGTGCAATCTCTTTGTCATGAAAGTGCAACTTACAAATGTAGATTTTTTTTGTTACATAAGTGCACTCAAAAACAAAAGAATGTAAAACTTCAGAGCCTACAAGTCCACTCAATCCTACTTCTTGTTCAGTCAATCACTAAGACAAACTAGTTTGTTTACATTTACAGGAGATAATGCTGCCCTCTTCCTATGTACAATGTCACCAGAAAGTGAATACAGGCATTTGCATGACACTTTTGTAGACAGCACTGCAAGGTATTTATGTGCCAGAGAGGCTAAACATTCATATGCCCCTTCATACTTCAGCCACCATTCCAGAGGACATGCTTCCATGCTGATGACGCTTGTTAAAAAAATGTGTTAATTAAATTTGTGACTGAACTCTTTGGGGGAGAACTGTATGTCCCCTGCTCTGTTTTACCCGCCTTCTGCCATATATTTCATGTTATAGCAGTCTCGGATGATGACCCAGCACATGTTGTTCATTTTAAGAATACTTTCATTGCAGATTTCACAAAACGCAAAGAAGGTACCAATGTGAGATTTCTAAAGATAGCTACAGCACTCCACCGAAGGTTTAAGAATCTGAAGTGCCTTCCAAAATCTGAGAGGGATGAGGTGTGGAGCATGCTTTCAGAAGTCTTAAAAGAGCAACACTCTGATGCGGAAGCTACAGAACCCGAACCACCAAAAAAGAAAATCAACCTTCTGCTAGTGGCATCTGACTCAGATAATGAAAACGAACATGCGTTGGTCAGCACTGCTTTGGATTGTTATCGAGCAGAACCTGTCATCAGCATGGACGCACGTCCCCTGGAATGGTGGTTGAAACATGAAGGGATATATGAATCTCTAGTGCATATGGCACGTTAAATATCTTGCAACACCGGCTACAACAGTGCCATCAGAATGCCTGTTCTCACTTTCAGGTGACATTGTAAACAAGAAGCGAGTAGCATTATCGCCTGCAAATGTAAACAAACTTGTTTGTCTGAGCAATTGATTGAACAAGAAGTAGGACTGAGTGGACTTGCAGGCTCTAAAATTTTTATTTTTGAATGCAGTTTTTTTTTTACATAATTCTACATTTGTAAGTTCAGCTTTCATGATAAAGAGATTGCACTACAGTACTTGTATTAGATGAATTGAAAAATACTATTTCTTTTGTTTTTTTACAGTGCAAATACTTGTAATAAAAATAAATATAAAGTGAGCACTGTACACTTGGTATTCTGTTTTGTAATTGAAATCAGTATATTTGAAAATATAGAAAACATCCAAAATATTTAGATAAATGGTATTCTATTATTAACAGTGCAATTAATCACGATTAATTTTTTAATTGCTTGACAGCCCTATTAAAAATATTAATAGGAAATATTTATGTGTATTGTATTATGCACAGCAGCCTCACAATAGCTTGGTGTCAGCTATTTTTCAGGTTCAGTATAAATGCTCCGCAATTTACAAAGAAAAGAGATAACAGAATAATACACAAATTACTAGGGGCTCAATCCTGCATCAGAGAACCCAATAGTATTTTGCCATGGATTTCATAGAATCATAGGGTTGGAAGGGACCTCAGGAGGTCATCTAGTCCAACAGCCTGCTCAAAGCAGGACCAATCCCCAGACAGATTTTTGTCCCAGTTCCCTAACTGGCTTCCTCAAGGATTGAATTCACAACCCTGGGTTTAACAGGCCAATGCTCAAACCACTGAGCTATCCCTCCCCCCCAATGGGAGCAAGTTATTTTCAATGCAAGCCTAGATTTTCATTTTATTTATTTTAGGTTATGTAATGTAGTACCTGGTTGTAAACAATATATTCAGGTATTATATTGCATTTATAGCAAAAATAAGTGATTTAATAATAAAAGCAATATTAAGCTCCACAAAATCATAGAATTGTATATATATATATGCAGTCCCAAGCTCATCATGCAAATTAAGATGCTCACAGTACCATGAGTCCACGGTGATGAGCGTGGTCAAAATACATGGGTTAGATTGAGACCGTTTTTTAGCATTCAGTTGTTAAGTGTTCTTCTATTTACTAATTTTTTGGAAGAGGGAAATACATGTAAGTTGTTGACTATGAATACTTCCTCCACTTGTTACATATCCTGTTCCTTTCTATGATGCTCAGCTAAAACTATCTCCATACCCTTTGTTAAACAGTGGAGTACCAGTTGCATACATATGGTATGTTACATAACAGAGCTCTCTTGTACATTTTATGTAAATTACACATTATGTACATGATGAAAAAATCCAAGCATTACTTTATGAAAGTGACAATGAAACATGCTTGATAATAAATACTTACTTTTTTATTGATGTAATATGGGTCCAGATCCTCCAAGGGCTCGGACACCATTCCTGGAGGTATGTCACCATAAATAAATGGAAGTGACTTTCCTGCCTCCAAGTCACTATTTGGTTTTGGGCCATTTTCATCATTATCTTTACGGTCTTGTTTGGAATACTTAGCCTTTTCTGCAGCAATGCGTTGTTCAATAGCTGCAAGAGACTCTCTAGTGAAGTAGTGGAAGCTGTCAGGTCCTGGTGGTACAAGCACTGACTGCTCCATCTTTTCATCCTGCTCATTTTAATTACCATTTATTCTCTTGCATAAGAAAGTGCTAAAAGAAAACAGAAAAAGAAAAGATGAACGTGTTAGAACAATCCAGGGAAAATATTATTTATTTAGTAATATTTATTTTGCTTATGCCAGCATCAGTATATGCAAATATAAAATATTTAAAACAATTTAAATGTAACTCAATTCAGCGTTTAAAATAGAAGTTTGATCATTTTCAAAGGCACCTATTTCGTTCTTGATAAGCCAACTATATATAAGACAAAATAATTTCTCAGTTCTAGAAGCTGTTGAATCAATTTTTACCCAAAGTATTTTATCGGATGACTTGCCGATACAGTCTTATTGCAACTGATATTTTATTAATTATGAAAAGGAAAGTGGTCCCACTGCAGAATCTTCAGGGAACATATTGTTAATTATAAAAAGCCCAATTCAGCAACTCTTACTCATATTGAGAAGTAATTACTCACTTGCATATTCACAAGTAGACTTTTTGAAGTCAATGGAAGAAAGAGCTGCAGAATCAGGACCTAAACAAATAAAAATTGGCTCCATGTATTGCAGATAAGAGCTCTGCATTACCAAAATATATGGTTCCTAAGGTTACTTGTGCATCACTTATTCTCTTTACAGTTAACAAAAGCAATACTTTCTTCATATTTCTCTTTCATTTAAACAATTGTTCTGTATACTAGCATTTTCTTCAGTAAAGATGTTTACAAGTGAAGAATTAACAAAGTATTTTTAACAAACATAGTATGCAGCTTAAAAATAAGCACGGGCACAGAAAAATGAGTGCACAATAAAACTGCACATCCTGCATATTTTATGCTGCTAAATAATTTTCAGATTTTAGTAGGTACAAGCAGTAGAGCACATCTGCAGTCTCCACCCATTGGTTGGCAGGGCTATGTGGAAATGATGAGGCAGCCTTTGAGGAAGGTTGGAGGATCAGTGCCAGACCTAATACATTTTGAAAGAAGCAAGAGATGAGGAATGGCAGAGATGTGAGAAAGCAAAAGATGATAGGAAGGGAGCGATAAGCAGCGCTGAGAAAGGAGACTAAAAAAAAAAAAGCATGGGTTGCAGAAAGAAGCAGAAAAACAGAAAGGGGGAAAGAAATATTGGCAGAAAAAAATTAGGGGCACAGGAGAGAAGAAAATTAATGAATTAGAAGAGAAAATGAAGGAGGGAAAATTAAATGGAAAAGTTGCAAACCTGGAAGAAAGTAGTACAAAAATGCCAAAAGAAAAGCAGACAGGAGAAGTGAGGGATAGAAGTCAGGGGTTGGAGGAGCAGGAAGGGTAGAGAAATACAGAAAGGGTGGAAACCTCTAGCAAGAAAAAAAATTAATAAAAAGAAATAGAAATTGAAAGAGAAATAAGAGATGAGAGAATAAAGGAAGAAAGAAAAGCATATAGTGGAAATGGAAACCAGTAACAGATATTATATACATGTAATCTTAAGCAGATGGCCCATAGAATTAAAGGCACTATAAGTACAAACATTTTAAATCACACTAGTATGTACAGTAGTGTCTCTGTTCAGTGGTGAAGATGTGAGAAGGGAAGTAGAGTGATGAGGAGATTCCATAGCTGCACAATTTGCATTTATTTTCCTTCATTTCTGAGATAATTTTTAAAACATATTTGATCAGGACATGCAGGAGAATGAAACACAGACAGAGGGATGGATTTCAAAGTGGAAAGCTGAAACTTTATTAATTATGAACTTTAGTGGATGGAGCTAAACCCCCACAAAATACCAGATATTTACTTGAGTCAAGCAACGTGTTAAATGATCTCATACCAAATAGCCAATATTTAGGGTTGGTCTCTTCAGCATAACCCCAATGATTTACCCCACCTCTGAATCTTCTTACTCTGCCCCAGGAGGAGAATGAGGGTACACATGAAGGGTACTTTAGTCTGTGAAGACTTAAGGCCCTCCCTTCTTCCACAAGGCTAAGAGGGTCCGTGCCTGACATTTCTTGGGTCTCTCTCAGTCACGTTTACCTCTGAAAGATGGCCCCTTTGAGCCTCTCACCCACAATTGCAATGAAATTACAAAATCATAACTTTTAAACACTATTCTTACTCATTAACCTTAAACTGAGCCTCCAGGATGCGTCATGAAAGGCAGAAAATCCCAATCACCTCGTCAATCCTTTTCTGAGGAAGGAACTCCTTCTTGACCCCCAAAACTAGCAATCAGTCAGACCCACAGAATCTTAGAAACTAATTCAAATTATACCTCCATTATAAGGTAGAGAGGGCAGGGCAGCAGAATGGCTGCTAGGTAGTCTGAGGGCTTCCCATACAGCTGGGTAGGTATTGGGTGGGGATGCATGAGAATCACACTCTCCCTTTTCCCCATAGACAATGGGTAGCAGAGAAAGGGGGAGAAATCTCTCCTTCTTCCCTCCCCCCACTCACCCAGGGATAATCTCCTGAGGGGTGATGGGGAGAAGGCTCTCTAGCAGCTGAACCTGCCATTCCTTTTCCCTTCCTCTCAGGACCCCAGGGGTTGTTTTTCCCCTGCCGGTCTAATCATTTATACATACACCCATTGAGATGGGGGAGAAGGTCTTAAAGGGTTAAAATGTGCACTATAAAATTACAATAAGCAATCCTTTATATATATATAAAAAAGAGCACATTTTCAAAGCACTCCCCACATTGTGTTTAGAAAATTTCCTGTGTTTTCCAAGAGCCCAAAACTGGTGTTCAAGCTCCTGCAAAGTGCCCAGAGGAGGCCCTTTGAAACTTCCTTTCTATACAGACAGCTGGTGCAGTCCCTTTTCTTTACACAGCTCCATGTTTCTAATTCTTTAGAGGTGCACGGGGGGCAGGTTTAGCACAGGTTCAGTTGCAGCCACAGAAATTGTGAAACCAAGGGTGCAAAACACTTCTCCCAGCCCACTGTGGAGTGGAAGGGAGGCCCTGACTTGAGGGGGAGAAGGGAGAGGAGATGGGATCTGGAGAGCAAGCTTGCCCCTCATTCACCCTGCAGTGTTAGATCCTCTCCAAGGGCACTGGTCCTGGCTCTACGCTCTGGGCATTGAGATGTGGTGCAGGCCCAGCTGTTTCTCTGTCATGGCTGGGACAAACCTGAGTGGCTCCGCAACCCCATGTGCCAGACTGCAACTCCCAGAGTAGGGAGCCAGGCCCAGCCCCGTGGAGCAGCAGCTGCGGCTGTGGGGTGAGTGTGGGGCAGGCTCACTCTCAAAACCCACTTCCTGGGCCCTGTCTGACCCTCCCCTCCACACTGGGCTGGGATTAGGGTTGTGGTGCTCGGGCAGAGGGTACTGCTGTGGTTAGTCCTTGCCCCCTCAGCAGTTTAATATGATGCATCTATTGAACTGGGAGGCTACATCTGCTCCTGGAGGTGCAGTTTTCAGTAAAACTTAAAAATGAACGAAAGATGGAATTACCCAAGTGTGTAATGCTGCCCTGGCCTCAAAACATTAACAAAATATAACACTTCTCTCATCAGAAATGACAAGAGAAATCTTTTCCATTTACATCGGTTTGAGAAGATCTTGTCAGCTGAGTGGGCGAGACAAGGTTTTCTTTATTGTATTTCATGAATTTATTCTTAAGTACCAGTAAAATGAAAATAATACAGTAACTCCTCACTTAACGTTGTAGTTATATTCCTGAAAAATGCGACTTTAAGCGAAACGATGTTAAGTGAATCCAATTTTCCCCATAAGAATTAAAGTAAATGTAAATGGGGGGGGGGTTAGGTTCCAGGGAAATTTTTTTCACCAGACAAAAAATTATATATTATATAGATATACACACAGTATACGTTTTAAACAAACAATTTAATACTGTTCACAGCTATGATGATTGTGAAGCTTGGCTGAGGTGGTGAAGTTAGAGGGTGGGAAAAGGTGGGATATTTCCCAGGGAATGCCTTGCTGCTAAATGATGAACTAGCACTCAGCTGAGCCCTCAAGGGTTAACACATTGTTGTTAATGTAGCCTCTCACACAAGGCAGCACGAACACGAGGGAGGGGAGAAGCATAGCAGACAGAGACAGACACACACCTTGTGTGTGGGAGAGAGAGAGAGATGCACACTGCCCCTTTAAGTAAGCTGACCCACTCTTAAGTGCATTGCCTTTTTAAGTGGATCAGGAAGTTGAGACAGCTCTCTGTCTTTCTCCGTCCCTGTCCCCTCCTTGCTGTATATGGAGAAGGGGTAGGTGGGGTGCAGGAGCAGGGGGGAGGGGGAAACCCTGACATTAGCCCCCCACCTTCCCCCCTGCACAGCAAGCAGGAGTCTCTGGGAGCAGCTCCAAGGCAGAGGGCAGGAGCAGCACATGGCAGTGGGGGGAGGGACAGCTGAACTGCCAATTGGTAGCCTGCTGGGCGGCTGCAGCACAGGGAACTTAGGGGAGCGGGGATATGATAGGAGGAGCTGATGCGGGGGCTGCGGGTCTACCCTGGTTCCAAACCCCCACCAGCTAGCTGCAATGGGCTGCTCTTCCTGCAAGCAGTGGACAAAGCAGGCGGCTGCCAAACGACCTTAGAAGGGAGCATTGCACAACTTTAAACGAGCATGTTCCCTAATTGATCAGCAATGTAACAACGAAACAACGTTAACCGGGACAACTTTAAGTGAGGAGTTACTGTACTCTCTGGGAAAAAGAGGAATGATGCACAAACAGATGAAGATGAAAAGGTCTAAGATCCACCAATACATATGCCCCACAAATGCAGGAAATTGCCTTTGTAGGATTAACCTTATCCTAACAGACTATTCCAAACAAAGACAACCCTAAGAAGTTTGATTACTCAAGGGCAATGAGTAAATGCCCAACTATTACATTGTCTCCCACTCACCCATGCAAACACCTATTTAGTGTTTTGCTGCTTTAAGTGACCACCTGTTATACCTGAATGTTACTGCCAACCCCAATCCCAACTTAGTGGTCCAAAAGAAGATAAAATATCCCCAAGGACCCTACCAATATATCT